GGCATCATCTATGTATCTATCATACAATTCAATAGTTCAATCATATCAAGAAAAGTTGTACAATCATTACCACATCAATTTTATAACACTTTCTCCTTTCTTGTACTCCCCATGTGCCCCCAACCTCCTTTGCCGCACCCCAGGAAACCATGAATCCAGCTACTGCTCTCCAAAGTCCCCCCTCCTGGATCTCATCTACCCAAAAACCACAAAAGCGAATAACAACAACAAAGAAACCCTAACAATAATGACAAAGTAAAACCAAAAAAGTCCTCATTGAAAAGAAAGCAGAAAATATTAAAAACTAGAACAAGTCTAAAATGGGTTAAAAAGGAGATTAATGATAAGGTGTGAAATTTTCACCTAACTACATCTGCCACAATCCACTTCCTAATGCATTCTGAATGACAGCAAGGCTATTCACATCCCTGACCTATGTGCAGAGGGGATTCACCTGTGACTGAATCCACATGTATTTCCCCTTCAGTTTTTTTTTATTTAAAAAAAAATGATAACAATTTAAAATGGATTGAAAGGGAATCAAGAAAACCGTTCCATTTAACTTAACTGTATCAACTGTCATGGCTACAATGTTCACTGTCTGATAGCAGGCTATTCACATCCCTAGACTAGGGTCAGAAGGGATTCACCAGAGGCTTCCTCCGTGTGGACCCTGCCAACGGGCTTCATTTTCTGAGGACCTGCTCAACTGTTTCCTACAGGGGCTGCGCCATCTTACACCTGCCAGCGGTGGGTGAGGGGTCCTCAAACCCCACCACCTCGCCAACACTTGCCATTTTCCTTCTTTTTTGAAAATTAATGAGTACTTTTAAAAGGAGCCCTGGTGGCTCAGTGGTTATGAGTTGGGCTGCTAACCCAAGGTCAGCAGTTTGAAACCACCAGCTGCTTCATGGGAGAAAGACAGGGCTTTCTACTCCCATAGAGAGTTATAGTTTCAGAAACCCACAGGGGCAGTTCTATAGGTTCCCTGTGAGTTGGCATCGACTTGATGGCATGAGTTTGGTTTTTAATACCGTTTAAAAAAAAAAGTCAGCTCTTGCAAGGTCTCTGGGTAGAATGGAAGACCCTTGCCTCCCCCACCCCCCACTGCTTCATTGACGTAAGGCTTTGGAGGCACAGCTAGCAGGGCTGGCTTTCCACTGGGCTTGCTGCGTTTCCTTTCCTACTCAGTCACCAAAGAGCAAGCTGGGGGCACAAAAGCAGGCTCCGTAAGCCTTGATGGAAGTGGTAGGAAAACCACCAGCAGCTACGTCCAGACACTTAAGTGACCATTGGAGCCAAAGCACTGGAGAGCTGAAAAGAGGCCTGATGCCGGGTCACGCAGACCTGGGTTCAAATCCTGACCTCCCCATTTGCCCACTGGTTGGGATAGCTCTTCAGGAGCCCACCTGGGGCCCTGGTAACTTGGTGTTTTGGGGAGAGGGGTTGGAGGTCGAGGGCAGAGAAAGTTCCTAGGCTCTCTAAGAATACCCTCCACCCCCTACCTGCAGGGCCACCAGAAGGGCCAGGAGACCCACCTGGACTTGTTCTAGGTCAGAAGGCTCCCTGGGGGAGAGCCACGGAACCACTACCCCTGCATCACAGCTGTGGATTCGGAGGCAGACAGGTGTGGTTTTCAATCACAGCTCTGCCACTGGCCTGTGTGGCCCTGGGCACCTGCTTTAACCTCGCTGAGTGGCAGTTAGAGACTATGATAGAGCGTACTGCTATCACGCTCCAAACAGGGTGTATTTGAACGTGTCTCTGTGACCAGTGAATGGCTGCAGACTAGTTCTCTCAATAAACACACTGGGTTTAATCTATTGAAGGTGCCTTCCAAAACAAACAAAGAAAAAAACAAAGAAACAAACAGACCCCAAACCGAAGGTCTCATCAAAACGGTGGCTTTCCCAGGGAATCTGCTGGGCCAGCATGATGTACAGCACAGAGGTCAGCTCAGAAGGCCAAGACACCTAATTTTTAAAATTATTCTTATTTCCAGAACATGGGAATGGTGAGGTCCAGGTCTAGGGAAGTGGCACCCAGGATTTTCCCCCCACCCACCACAACAAGGCACCTGTGAGGGAAGCCAGGGCTATCCTGGAAGAATTTCAAAGAGAAACCTTACCCCATCCACCCTCCTACCTACTTGCCCCATCCCGGCTTCTTTCTGTCCCCCCTGTCAAAGGCCATTGAAAAGGAACCTGATTTGCCTCCCTCGGATGTGCTCCCACTGCTGTTTTGACATGTTGTAAATCATCATTCTTTAGGGAGGATCTGGAGGGACGGGAAGAGCGCCTTCAGAAGTGTACAGGCCTGGATGCAGGACGCGCTGAGTCGCAAGAGCTTCCCATTTTGATATTTTTGTTTCGGGAAGGTGCCTGTGATTGTGCAGTGCTCCTTCCTGATCAGGCCCCCCATGTAGGAGAAGCCTCTCCCCTGGGCCCTTTGGGCCATTAAGTGAGGTAAGGAAACTAGTTAGGGGAGTGCCTGGCACAGAATATGCATCCAGTAAATGAGAGCCATCAGAATTTAATTTAATTTAATTTGGTTTCATTTAAATTAATTAAGACATGAAGTCAGGGAGTTCTGGAGCCAGCAGCCTCTGTGGCCTCTCTAAGTCAAGCCCAGAGCCCTGGCAGAGTGCCCTGAGGAGGACAACATCTTGCCCGGTGGTCATTTTTAATGCAAAGACAGGACCTAATAGCCAGCAATGGGATAAGCCTGAGGGGCAAATAATTAAAATAATGTTGTAGAAGAGTATCTAACACCATGACAGATGTCTAGATATACACAAAGGTGAGAGGGGGAAAATGACAGAAAGTGGCATGTGATAAAAGAAATCTGGTGATAAAAGAAATAGAGTAGTTGGCATGACATAGCTCACAGAAATCATGATCTGTATCCTTACAATGGGAGTAGTGTCTGAGAGCCTACAAGCTTGCCAATTGCCATCCAAGGCGCCTCGACAGGTCTTGACTGGCCAGGAGCAACACTGTAACAAGGTAACCAACAACTCCAAGAAGAAGCATGTCTCATGAGTCACAACCTCATCTGTCCTGAGACTGGAAGAACTAGATGGTGCCCGGCCACCACCATTGACTGGTCTGACTTGGGTCACAATAGCTGGTCCTGGATAGAATGGGAGGAAAATGTGGAGCCAAATACGTGTGGTCTTGATTTTTTTCCCCCAAACTAGAAAAACCGACAGGACTCGCTCTGACTACTGCCCTTAAGCAATCTTTAAACCCAGACCTGAGCCCATCCCCAGACCGCACTCTAGAAAAGTGGCGCACAAAATAAAGGTTACTCCCCATAAGGTAGGTAGGCGTTCTACTTAAATGCCATCAGTGCTTGACACCTGAAGGTCAGCCTTGCTCAGAAGCAAAGATGGGATGGTCAGGGGGACAGGGAAAGCAGAGCCCTGGGAAAGGAAGACTCAACACAGTGGCAGGGGAGGCCCACCCATTGGGGCCCACCCATTGTGATGAGCAACTCGCCCTCCCAGAACAATGTGCGTGGAAACGGTCAGAGGAGAACCTGATTTTCGATGGAAACTTTCACCAAAGACTCGATGAAATGTTATTTTCAAAATCCTACAGGAAGGAAGGTGAGGGAGAAGGGGGGAACTAATCATAGTGATTGACGTACAACAACACCCACACCCACCCCAGGGAGACGAACAATAGAAACGTGGGTGAAGGGAGATGGTAGTTGGTATAAACTATGAAAATAAAATTAATTTATAAATTATCAAGGGTTCGTGAGGGTGGAAGGGTGGGGGAGGGAAGGGAAAAAAGAGGAGCTGATACCAAGGGTTATAGTAGAAAGAAAATGTTTGGGAAATGATGATGGCAACATATGTACAAATGTGCTTGATCCAATTGATGCATGGATTGTTACAAAAGTTTCAGGAGCCCCCAATTAAATGGTTTATTAAAATAAAAAATCCTATAGGAAGCAAATAAAAGATAGAAACGCTAGAAAGAAAAAGTCTTGATACATTCTACAACAACCTTAAAAGCATTAGACTAAGGAAATGGAGCTAGTCACAAAAGATTGGATATCATATGAATTCCAATTCATTAGAAATATCCCGAATCTGGAGGAGACGAGCCAGTCAGTAGCAACGATGAAAAATACAACTTTCCTCTAGTTCCTAAATGCTCTACCCCCTCCCACTCCCACTATCATGATCCCAATTCTAGCTTGCAAGTCTGGCTAGACCAGAGGATGTACACTGGTACAGATAGGAACTGGAAACACAGGGAATCCAGGGCGGATGATCCCTTCAGGACCAATGGTGTGAGTGGCAATACAGGAAGGGTAGAGGGAGAGTGGGTTGGAAAGGGGGAACTGATTACAAGGATCTACATGTGACCTCCTCCCTGGGGGCTGGACAACAGAAAAGTGGGTGAAGGGAGACGTCGGACAGGGCAAGATATGACAAAATAATAATTTATAAATTATCAAGGGTTCATGAGGGAGGGGGGAGGAGGGAGGGTGAGGAAAAAAAGAGGACCTGATGCTAGGGGCTTAAGTGGACGCAAATGTTTTGAGTGATGAGGGCAATGAATGTACAAATGTGCTTTACACAATTGATGTGTGTATGGATTGTGATAAGAGTTGTATGAGCCCCTAATAAAATGATTAAAAAAACAAATAGCTGAATGCGGTTTTGAACTCCCGAGTGTGTGGTGAGCAGCCTAACTTGTTAACTCCCCAGTCCCCAGGGCCCCTTACACATATCCACATCCACATCCACAGACAAGACTGGGAAGCAATACAAGAAACATCTCAGGGGGTGGGGTTTTGGCGGTGGTTGGTTTGTCCATCATGCAGATCTAAATTCCCTAAGAGGTTTACTATGAATGACTATGCACCAAGTCCCGAAAAGATGCTGGCTCACGTTGGCGGCTTGGGCTTTGAAAGACAATTGGATTGAGGCCAAGGTCACTTCCCATCCTGCTTACACCTTAGTGGCACTCAGACAGACTTACCTTGTCCACATGGAGGGGCACGGCGAACCTCTTGAGGGTCGGGATAGAGGTGAGCCTGGAGTTCTCGGCAAAGTCCCGGTTGAGGTTGGCCATGTAGAAGAGCTGGTAGAGGCTGCTATCCTTGTAGGCAATTACGTCAAAGAGGATGCAGCCATCCTCCTCGTAGGCGTTGACGTGATGGAAGACCACCATGGGGTCCGTGTAGTACTTGGTCACTACTGGCTTCCTAGTCCTCTGGTCAATGATGTGGATGTGAGTCTACAGGAAGGCGGACATTGGCAATGAGCACCCCAGAATTCTGAGGGCCCAGCTCTGTGCCATCCTGGTTGTGGTCTAGACCAGCTGGTGACTACCCTACCACAAAACTGCCAGGCGCCTAAGGTGCTCACCGGATAAACCCAAACCAAACTCACTGCCATTGAACTAATTCCAACTCATAGTGAGCCTACAAGACAGAACAGAATGGCCCCTGTGGGTGTTTGAGGCAAGTAACTCTTTACAGGAGCATAAAGTCTCATCTTTCTCCCTCAGAGCGGCTGGTGCATTTGAACTGCTGATCTCGTGTGAAGCAGCCCAAAGTGTAACTCACTATGCTACCAGGGCTCCCGCTCAATCCCGCTCAAACTGTCCTCGCGATCCTATCTTTGCAGTGAGAGGAGGGAAGAAGCTTTGAACCCCCTGGCCTCTGGATTGGCCTCCAGGACAGTGGTTGGGGAGAGGATGCACTGTCCCCTCACTCAGCTGCCTGATACATGGGGTTTGTGGGTGGCTGGGTAGGGAGGGATGGGTCATGTTAGCTCTCTGGGGATGGTCAAGCAGGGAAGACATTGCCAGGAGCCAAGGCCCTTGAGACGGGAGACCCTAACACCATCAACTGCCATTGCCCCACCTCAGAGCCCGCTGCTGCATCCAGTTTGCCAAGGCGTGGTTGCCACCGCAATGCCAGCCCCACCCCCCACCCCACCCCCGGAGGGCTACAGTGTGGAGTTGCTCTGACCTCGCCTCCCGGGGAGTGTCAGCTCCTTAGGCAGCTAGCTCCTCTCTGGGTGTTGCACGCAGCCAGTCTCACTCTGGGCAGAATGGGCCCTCCCTGCAGTCCGTTGCCCAATGCCAATGGGAGCAGTGTGCTTTCTTGCAACAGCGCCGGTCTAAGCATCCTCCTGCCCAAACAGCTCTCTGTTCCCCACCACCACCACCCTCACCCCACCTGGCTTGTTTGCCTTGCTCTCATCTTCTTCAGAGTCAAAATTTGAGTTTTAGGAGGGGGATTTGGAAGAGGCAGGCTCTGGTGGGGGGTGGTGTATAGAAGAGGCAGGCTTTGACTAGTAGTGTTGGGGTATGCAGAAGAGGAAGACTGGTGGCGTTGAGGGGTACAGCAGAGGCAGGCTTTGGCACTGTGTGTGGGTGGGTGGGTGGGTGGGGGTGGCCGAGGAAGGCTCTGGTAGTATTGAAGGTCAAACAGAGGCAGACTTTGGTCGTGTTGGTGGGGTATATCAGAAGGCTCTGGTCGTGTTGGAGGGGATTCTGTATATGGAAGTCAATATAGGGGTGCTGCTTTTTAGGCCTTTGACTCCCCATGTGTACTTTCCAGAAAGTTCTCCCCCAAGGCCTTCCCAGATTCTCGGCCTGGGAGATTTCCCTCTGCGGCCCACGGATTAGGAAAACTGCTCAGGGGGCTGCGGTGAGCAGGCCTCCGTGCCCGGCTCCTTCCGGCTGCGGGCATGTCGTGGCGCCCCCCTCGGTTTGCGGGGCACGGCACCCAGCAGGCCCACTGTGCTGTATCCCCAACAACCTGTGCTCCCGCATGTCTAGGGGGGCCCCCGGCCCTTCTCGCATGGCTCTCGAACCGTGCACCACGTTCTCGCCCACCCGACAGTTAAAGGGACAGTATGTGTGCATCGCTAGTCAAAAGCACTCTGCCAACCGCCCCGGCTCTGTTTTCTCGCGAGACTTGTGAGATCACGAGATTTGGGAGCCAGCTCTCGCGAGGCTTGCGAGCAGTGCGGGCCGAGCCTGCATGGCGCTCCCAGGGGGGTGGGTTCTTTTGCTGAGGAGCTGGAGAGCCACGACCGCACCGACGGCTGCCTGGGAGCTTAGTTTGGAGAAGTTCGGCCAACAACCAAGGACTGGACCTTCCTGTCAGGGGCGGGTGGGATGTGTGTATGTGTGTGCGGTGTGTGTGTGTGTGTGTGTGTCACAGACAGGTCTTGGGCGGCGGGGGGGCGGGGCGGGGGCGCCTTAGAGACTCAGGTGAACTGAGGGGGTGCTGGTTAAGAAGACGCTCTGAAGAGGCTGAGTGACAGGTTGAAGCAAAGCCTTTGGAGTCTATTCTGAAGGAGCCAGGAAATTTCTAGAATGGACGAGGCAGCTGGCTTGACCCCCTTGCTCCCTCAAACATCCCTTTCTCCCGCCCCTTGAGAAAGAGAGAAGACGGGCTTTAAAGTGGGGAGCCAGCCACCACGTACGTGGAACTGTATGTGAGTGCTTAGCACGGACAGCCCAAGGGGACCCAAGATGGTGGTGGTTCCCTCTGGAGAGAAAGGGGCCAGGGGCCTGCCCGGTGCTGCCTCCTATACTCCCCTGTTGTGTGACTAGGTAACACTGAGAATGACTGGACTTCTTTTTGGAAATAGAACAGAAGCAATCAAAGCAACCCTTCAAGCCCTCGAGTGAACCTGGAGGGAGGAGGACATTCTACCTTGCCATGGGCTGGAGGGTCTGTGGGGACGATGCCTGCAGAGCCTACGGCTGGGGATTGCAATTCATGTCAGGAAACCAAATGTGTACACACTGTTGAATGGAACACCAATTCACCCAAACAGGAAACATGAAGTGAAAAATCACCGATGACACCATCTCACCCTAACACATGGTGGTGGGGAGGTGCCAAAGGGCCAGGCTCTTCCTGGACTGCTCTGGGTGTCAGGGAGGATGGCTCTGTTGGGAGTCAAAGGTTTTCTTCAGAGCAATTCCCTAAGTGGATTAAAAATTATAAGAGCCAGGGTCCTCCCCCTGCACCCCCAATCCTATTCCAACTTGGGACATCTGACCCTGCTTCCTTTCCCCTGAATCCATCCCAGGGAGGACCTTCCCAATCTCCAGCCCTCTAACACTAAGCCTTCATCTCAGGGGGTCTTCCCAGGACCCTTTGCAACTTGGCCTGCTGTGTGCCTACCGGTGGCAGGGCCAGCAGCTCCCACCTGGACCTCACCTTGTCATCCTTGTGGAAGGACAGGCAGGATGCCCAGCTCACTCCCCGGATGTACGCAGTCGCCATCTTGAGAATGTCCAGCTTGAAGGGCTGCTCGAGGAAGATGATGTAGTTCTCGGTGAGGCCAAAGCTGTGATAGTAGCTCGGGGAGAGCAGGGAGCGGGAGGGGATGGAGCAGAACACCTCAGTGTGCTTCAGGCAGCTCGCCCCTTTCTTCTTGTCTTCTAGAAAAGAGCAACCCTCAGGAGCTGCCGCGGCCTGGCTGCCCCAGACCACCCTACCAGTAAGAGCCAACACATCGACCCAAGAAATGAAGACATTCTCAGAGAACTGCACATCCAAGACTGGACCACCACCAAGCCACTGTTAGGTCTCTAGGCCAGGGGTCACTGGACTTCAGTCCAGGAGCCAAATCCAGCTCCCCACCTCTCTGTGTAAAGGTTTTTTTGGAACACATGCCCTGTCTACGGCTCCTCTTGTTTTTGAGCTCCAATAGCATGGCTGAGTTGGCTCATAGCTGGAGCCATTTGTTGACCTCTGCTCTAGAGACTACTCAGTCCGTTGCCATCAACTTGATTCTGACTTCTAGTGACCCTTCAGGGCAGGGTAGGACTGCTGGCTTTCCAAGACTCTCTGTCTTTACAGGAGCAGACAACCTCATCTTTCTCCAGCAGAGCAGCTGGTGGGCTTGAACAGAGGACATTGCAGTTAGTAGCTCAGGGTTCCTACTAGGGTTCCTTTGCTCTAGAATAGTGCTTATCAAACTTGAATGTGCCCGTGAGTCTGGTGGGCAGTTGGTACCAGTGGACTTTGATGCAGTCTGCTAGGGTGGGGCCTTATTTCTCTCCAGCTCCTGGGTGATGGTGAATCCCAGGATTCACTCAAACTCCCTGCCAACAAGTCAATGCCAACTTACAGAGACCCTAAAGGACAGGGTAGAACTGTCTGAGATTCTGAGACTAACACTTAAACAGGGGTAGAAAGCCCCATCTTTCTCCCGTGGAAGGGCTGGTGATTTTGAACTGTTGACCGAGTGGGATTGCAGCCCAATGTGTAACCACTACGCCATCAGGACTCCACCCCAGGACCAAGCGCTGACATTTTGCTGGGGACCAACTGACACATATTCACAGGGTTTCCATGAATTTTCTTGGCTCTGCCCATTTTGAAATGCTGGTGAATGGGATGAATTACCCATTGCAATGAGAGGCTTTTAAATACATCTTGACAACTCAGGTAGGCTTACTGGCCCCCCTTTTAAAGGTGGGACACTGAGGCTTGGCAGCAGGGGCTGTCATTCTGACCAGAGTCACAGACTTAAGGCAGGAAGACACATCCTGTAGCCTAGGCTGTTTCTTCTGTCATCAGCAAAGTGTCACCCACAGAGGGAAGGAAGTGGATGGGAGTTCAAGCACCTGCCCTGCGCCCAGAACACCCTGTGTGCTTCGTACCAGCTCGTGTTGCCATTTCCTCTGCAAGGCTGCGTCTTCACCCACTGACCACAGAGCCTCCCCACCCAGGTCTGAGGCTGGCTTCCCCGTGAGTGATCTGCTAGCCTTCCTGGTGGCCGACTGTACACACTGCCAAAGAGCAGGCTGCAGTGGGACTGTGGGCTGGTTCTTGTCTCCACAAAACAAACGAGCAATGGAGGAAAGAACCCAGGCCTATGAGGCAGGATGCTGGCTGGAACCCCAAGGAGGCCCCAGCCTGGAGCCTGTCCTAGGAGAGAGGTCAGCAGCTCCTGTCAGCGGGGTGACTGTGGCATGCTACCTATCTCCCAGACCTTACTGTCTGCCCCTGGACTCGGACACGCAGGTGGCCCTGAGCTCAGCATCTCGCTAGTTCGACCCTCTTTCTTTTGTTGGCTTAGTGAATGAGAGTGCCCCATAAGAGTAATTGTGGAGTGTCTGCCAGATGTGCATGGTACCCTCTGACCCTGGGACTGGCACCACCCAGCAGGCTCAGGAGGGTCTACGGAACTAGGGGCCTTGGGTGGAAAGTTGTCTTCCTCATGGTTCTGCTCTCTGTCCCTGGAGTCCTACACTGGCTGCCTTCTGAGGCGTCGTCTCCTGGGTGTGGCTCCCCAAGGGTCTTGGGCAAACAAGACCCAGGAACCCTGCCCTCCGCCCCATGGGAACCTGCAATCGACCTGGGCTGTGCTCCAGGGTGCCGGTCCTAAGTGGAGAAGGTCCAGGAGGCCCCGAGAACAGGGTGGGGATCTGGATGCCTCCCAGCTCATCTGAGCTCCCCGAACAGCCTCTTGAACTTGACTTCAGGGGCTGGGCATGAAAGTGGGTGGCACCAACCTACCATACTAGAGTTTGTCAGGAGACTGACAAATAAATGGATGGGTGGGTGGGTGAGTGGATGGATGGATGGAGGGAGGGAAATGTGGGTGGATGGGCAGTTGGGTGGGTGGGTGAGTAGATGGTTGGAGGGAAGTAGGGTGTATGGATGGTTGAGTGGATGGATGGGTGGGTGTGCAATAAATAAATGAATAAATAAACCACAGCCTAAAGATGAGAACAGAAAGTCAATTTCTTCCTTCCATCTTCTCCCAAAGAAGCCCAGCCACTTCCCTTCTCCTCCACACGAGAATCCAAATTCATGGTGAACAGAATCACACACGGATGACAGTGTCTCTCTGTAGAAGGGGCCACCCTGGGCCACTTGTGCTTCCTGACACACACACCCTCACCCACTCCCCCCAAACCTTCAGCCTTCTCCTACCTGGCACTGTGCTGGGGATCCTAAACAACACATACTTCGTCTTCCCCTTGTCCACGATGGACGTGCCCATGTTAAGAACGTTCCCGGCTGCATCGTAATGAGGATGGGACGTAGCCAGGTTCACAGCCACGTACTGCCGGTAATCAACCTGCAAAGAGAGGGCAGCCACCGAGTTTGGAAAAAGCAGGGGGTGGCGAAATCCTCACTTCTAGATCCACATGGCTCATGGGTATTTCCACCGGTCCCCTGGCCTAGAAAGCAATGAAGATCACTCTTGGAAAAGGGCGCCTACAAGTGTGACCCGAGACAGCCTTACCAGGTGCGTCCTCTGGGAAGCAGGTCTCAGGACAGCAGCGAGCTGGTTCTGTTTTGGTGCTATTGTTCCAATCCCACTGCCTGGCCCAGCAGGGCCATCTCAGCACAGGAGACAAGATGCCTGACCACAGAAAGCTCGAGAGAGCAGCGGCCAGAGGGGAGGGGGAGCCAGAGAGCCCACTGTGGTGGTGCTTCTAGACCATTTGGTGAAGTTACTTACATCCTCCCCACAGAGGCACACATCGCCTCTTTGATAGGGTTCTTCTGGGAAAGGAGAGCTTACAAGGACACGTGGCAAAAGGACACTTGGGGTGACTCCACGGCTCTGAACAGGCCACAATCTCAGAACAATGGGGTGGTCAGAGACCAGCAGCTGGTTCCGATTCCTCCCCTAGAACAGCACAGCCTCCAGCCACGAGCCAGGTAACGGTCCTCTCTGCCAGCACTAACTCTCTCTCACTTTGTAGCTAGTGTACACCGGTTGGCTCTGTGCCGTCTCAGACAGAATTTCACAGCTAAGAAAAGCACTCACTCTAACGGATCGTTCAAATACATCTCCAGGATTTCAGGCTGGAGAAGAGTGAAGGCTGGGCCTATTGATTTTCAAGAAAATGTGGACTTGCTTCCCCCTTAGGAAAGGTGTCTGCTTGGGCGCTTATTTCTGTGCCCTTGCTCTCTGCCTCCCTCTTCAGGTCAATCCTGGGTAGGACTCCCGGGAACCCTGGGCGGTTCAGCAGTTCCGTCATCAAACTCTCTGGGAGCTCCTAACTCAGTGTCCGGTTAAAAAACACCCCAGCTCCTGCCCTGCAGGGTCTTAGAATCGCGTGCTCCTGGGACATGGGAAGCCCGGCAACCCATGGGATGAGTGGAAGGGACTCCTCCCTTGAGTCCCTGTGTGGCCAGAGCCAGGAAGTGCTGGTACCTTCTCCAGGGTGTCCAGGGTCTGCGGGTTGATTTTCCTGATGTAATTGGTTTCCGTGGTGGCGTAGAAGTCCCGGCCACACCGCATGATGTTAATCAGGCAGTTGTCGGTGAAATCGGGGATGGTGTGGGACAAGTAGGAGAACGCTCTGGGGAGAAAAGCGAATGGCCGTGCTCACCAGCTGCAAAGTTCGGCCTGGCACCGGCCCGATTTGCCCACCTCATATGAAACCCTGGACTTCAACGCAAGGAGAAAAGCTAGCGTGTTGCTAGCGTGTCCTAGCGGGCGATGGAAGGAATCTTGGGAACTCAGATTTCAAGAAGTCCATGGATACTACCAAGTTGAGTCAGTTATGGGGTGAGTCAGCCCTGTCTCCATGGCAGTCAACTGGTCCCCGTCCCCCCCCAAACCAAACTCACTGCCATCGAGCCGATTCTGACTCATCATGGCCCTTTTCCCCAGGCTATCAGAAATCCAAAGGTCTCCAGCAGTGAGAGCCAGCAGGAGTTTCTCAGCAAGTGTGCAGAAGACGTGCACAGACCACACGGATAATACAGCGCATCCCAGCTGTGGGCGGGAATGGGGGTCCACAGGGGTGCCTTCAAGAGCGTCGACACAATGAGTGTATGAGAAACGACAGCACGCTTCTAAAATCAGAGGCACTGGGTCTTAATTCATAATTACATTAGTTAGCTAACAGGAAGGAGGAAGCATCAAGGAGTTTCCGTGGAGAAGTCGGCACTTCCTGGGGTCCATGTAGTTGGTTTGTGCTCCCCCTACTGACAACTAGTGGAGCAGCAGGGAGGCCTCACAGACGTGGCTCTAAGTCCCTTCCTTGATTGGCTTCTCTCTGGCTCCTCCTCTCCTTCAAGTGTGAGGTCCCGCACCCACCCACCCCCACCCCCATCCCGTGCCAGCCTAGGTTCTGGGCCTGACACTGGAGAGATGACCCCAGTTCTGGTGGGGGAGGGTGGGGAGAGTGATTTTCCGTCACCTGGTCACTGAGGGCACACCTGATGGCCAGGCCGGCAATGCCTTTGTGGAACACACACTCCATTCACACGCGCCCATGTCCCGAAGTCTCATGCATGACCCAGATGCCCCCATCTCGTGCCCTATATCTCTGTCTCCACTTTGTTTGTGGCTTTGCCCAGAGCTGATGCGTTGATTATAAGCCAAAACAAATCTCAGCTTCCTCCTCCCCTTTGATATAAAACATAGCCTGTTGTATGCTTTCTGCAGCATCCTTTCCCCCTCCACTTTATAGCCTCCAGGGGCCCAGGTGGCGTAGAAGGTTACGTGTTGGGCTGCTAGCTATAGGCTCCGAAGTTCAAAACCACCAAACACTCCTCAGGAGAAAGATGAGGCTTTCTAATCCCGTCTAGAGCTATAGACTCGGCAGCCCACAGGGGTAGTTTTACCCTGTCCTACACGGTGGCTATTGTCAGAATCAACTAGACGGCAGAGAGCCTTGTGGTGAGTTGGAATTGGCTTGATGGCAGGTTTGGCTTGGGGGTTACAGCGTAACTTGGACACCTTTCTGTACAGGACATGAGCACACCCTATTCCTGTTATTGCTGCCTGGATTCTCTTCTGTGGCTTTGTTGTGCTGTACGTATCCTGTGGATGGACATTTGATCCCCCACCCCAGCTTCTCGTTGATATGAAATACAGCAGCCGTGGATGACTTTGAACATTGGTCATTTAAGCAAGAATAGCTCATGGCCAGAGGGGATGTTCAAGTCAGTGGTTCAAATCCACCAGCTGCTCCACAGGAGGAAAGACGTGACAGCCGGTTTCTATAAAGATTTATAGCCTTGGAGACTCTAGTGGGGCAGTCTGCTCTGTCCTCCAACTGGGTTCGGGTCTTACAAGCCTAGCTAGCTAGCACTGACCACGAACTACAGAGCACCCGGGACCTCAGGCCAGCAGCCACGGGCAGCCTGCCATCCACCTTGCAGAGGATGGTCAGAGGGGCTGAAGCTAGTTGTTTGGACCATCAAGACCACCGAAAAGCGGGACGAGATTCAAAATGGACAGTTACTTGGAAAAAATGTTTTTGCAGGGGTCCGGATAAGCCATCGTCCCGAACTCCGACACCACGATCCTGTTGGCCTCGATGTTGGCGGTGTAGGTGTCGCTGCGCAGGTACTTGCTCCTGTAATAGACCTCACCTGAAAGAGAAGATGCAGCAGCAGCAGCTCAGCCAGGCTCCTGTGCCAGACTGTCCCTTCCCCGCCAGCCATCCCAGGACAGTGGGCTCGCTAAAGGGCAGGCTCCCTGAACGTGAGCTTCCGCTGCAGCTAGACTCTGGGGGCGCCGTCACCACCTCTGGCTTGGAATCTACTCAGTGGCCGTGGGTTTAGAGTCACATGTCACACCCTTTTCCGCCCGGGGAAGGAGCTCAGGTGTCGTCCTGGGTTATGGGGTGGGCTCCTCACTACCAGGTCAGCAGTTCGAACTCACCAATCTCTCCATAGAGAAAGAAGAGACTGTCTACTCCTGCAGCCTGCGAGACCTTACGGGGCAGTTCTGCTCCATCCGATCGGGTCACTATGAGTTGGAATGAACTTCCTGGCCATGGGTTCCAGTTTACTAGCGGACAGCCTAACCCCCAAGTTTGTGTGCACCGGGAGGGTCACTGTGTGCATGCAGAACCCGTCGGGGTTCACCAGGCCCGAGTTCATGCATGCATCAGCAAGTGTTCGTCCAACACGATGAAGGGCCGGGAGGGGGGGGCGTGTGGGTATAACTGTGAGCAGGGCGGGTGGGTAAGGCTCTACCCCTGAGGAGAGAAAGTCTTCCTGGGGCTTCTCAGTGTCCACAGACTGTCTTGCTGGGCTTGGTCCCAGGTCAGGGGCGAGCCTCGAGCCCTAGACACAATGGTCAGAACACTTTCTTACAGAGTCACCATGATAGCTAAGGCTTGCCAAGTGTTTACAGAGATGGAGCGACACAATACTTGGAAAAAATCTGTGGGAAAACGGACCGGCAGGATCATGGGATTATCCCACGAGCTTTCTGAAGGTCCCCTCACAGTCCCCACAATGGATGAAAACATACCACCAATCAGGAAGACAGTGCCCAGCCAGCCAGGTTTCCTTCTGTTTTGCATGAGGTCACCATGGGTTAGAATTGCTTCAGTGGCAACCACCGTCCTCACCACACCACCCAAAGTGCCTGGCATGTAGCCGGTGCTCAACACAAACTGCAGGCAATACTGAGATGCAGAAGACATGGTGGTCCAAGCCAAGGCTCGGAGGTTCATCAGAATCCACGCTTTCTAGCATAGCCTTGTACCTCCTTGTAATTCCCCCTCATTCTACCTGTTTCCACATCTGGAAATTGGGAGTCCAGAACCCTACCCCTCCGAGGACTGGGAGGATGAAGGGAGATGATGGGGTGCCCTTGATTGGCGAAGGCTAGAATTCTACATTGCTCAAAAAGATCCTGACACTGGCAAGACTCTTCTGGGGATCTCAGAGAGCACATGGGCATCTGCCTTATGGTCATCCTGGTGGCCCTGTGCCAGCTGGTCCTTTGCTGGTCCCTCTCTGCAGGATCCCACCATGAGGCACTGACTAAGGCTCTTAGGGCCCTGCGCACACTCTGGCTGGAATGCCGGGCTCTGTTCGCTGGAAATGTAAACACTCTGCCCAGGCTGGGTTGTAAACAGGCAGCCCGTTTCCCATAAACAGCCCGCCACGGAGTGTGCCTGTGGACATCCCAGGGGCCAAGGGGAATGTGTCTCTGGAATTGCTCAAAGCTGGTGCCGAGAGGTTGAGTTTAAAGGAAGAACCCGGCACATGCCCTCCCACCCAGGGCAGAGGGGCCCAATTAGCCACATTCCTCCAGGAGGACCCATGTAAACAGAACTGGTCAACTTGGGGATCTTTAGTGGGAGGGAGGAGGAGAGACATGTATCTGGGGGTGGGGGTGGGGGGAGGCCAACATTCTGAAAGGCTACTCTGGAATGACCACAGTGGAAAGGCGCCAGCATTGGAGGAGCGCAGTGCTCAGGAGTTCATTTGCTTGGAGTCTGGTGGAGCAGTGGGGTACAAGTTGGGCTGGTAACTGCAAGGTCAGTAGTTCGAAAGCACCAGCCCCTCCGAGGGAGAAAGACGAGGCTTTCTACTCCCATAAAGAGTTAGAGACTTGGAAACCCCAAAGGGCAGTTCTAGTCTGTCCTGCGCGGTCACTGTGAGTCAGAATCAACTCAATGGAGGTGATTTCGCCACTTTGCCTCATCAAAGATCGTTTTGTTAGGGCGCCTGCGATTCACTAATCTTGATGCCCTACTGAATGAAAAACCCATACACAGAACGTTCATACTTCAAAAGAACTTTAGACTCACAGAGAAAGAGTTCCTGTATACCCCTCATTAAACGTCCCCTCCTCGGATCCATCTCTCCCACTCATTTTGCAAGAAGAACTTACCACTCAAAGAACCTGACCGGCTCTCTAGGGAGGCTCGGTGGTAGGCTAAATAATGGCCTTCAAACAACGTCCTTACCCCCCAGAACCTGTGACTATGCTACCTGCACCGGGGCCTCGGCAGATGTGCTGAAGGATCTGGAGATGGGACCTGGACTGTCCGGTGGGCTCAGTGCCATCAGAAGGATCTTTATAAATGGTAGGCAGGCAGGGTCAGCGTCAAGGAGAGATGGTGACACAGGCAGCAAGGGAGAGAGACTGGAAGATGCTATGTTGCTGGCTTCAAAGACAAAGATGGGGCCACGAGCCAAGGCCTGCAGGCGTCCTGTGGGAGCTGCAGGAGGTTCGGGAATGGGTTCTCCCTCGGGACCCCCAGAAGGTACAAATGCCGCTTCTGACCTCAGAGTGGTAAGAAAATACATTCAGGGTGTTTCAAGCTACTAAGTTTGTGGTGAGCTGTTACGACGGCAAAAGGAAATGCACGAGGCGCTCTTACTGTCTCTAATCGTGAAGCTGTGGAGCAAGGCCAGGCCATCAAACCAGTGGTTGTACCTGGTCTCCCCCACTGAGTGCATCCCAGGCCCGTTCCGAAGCAGGATTCCCTGCAGCCAGGTTGGAATCTTGCCTGTGAAGAGAAAGGCATGCCGACTTAGTAGGCCAGGCCAAACCAAAGGCTGGAAGAAACGCCGTGGGATGAAGGCCAGATGGTCTCACGTCGGCTAGGTGGGCAACTTGGTCTAGAGCAGGGGTTCTCACGCTTTGAATCACCTGGGGGAGGTGTGGGTGAAAACCTTGTCAGGCTCCACCCAGAAAGCCTGATTCTGTGGGCCTGGAGGGAGGCCCAAGTGTGGGTGCTTCCAACAGGCTCCCAGGTGATGCTGATGTGCGGCTCTGGGGACCACCAACAAGACCACCATCTTGGTGGGCTCCGGGTCCCGTTCAGCCTCCCAGGTTCTAGGATTCTCATTTTGTAAAGTTTCCAAGGGTTTCCACGGAGCCATGAAACGTGATGAAAGTAAGGTGTAAAGGTATGGGGAACTGGTGCGGGCAAACTCTGGAGCACAGGTGGGTGAACTTTGGAGATGGAGGAACCAATCCTGTCCCTCGCAACAATTAACAAACGATTCAAGAGCCATCTATATATATATTTACAAACAAACGACATTGCCATGATCTGACTAACAGCCTTTAAAATTGTTCAGTTTTTCCTTCAGAGCCACAGGTCTGAAAGAGAGTCAGACCATCTGGCTCAGGAGTCCAAGTGTGCAGACCCCTGCGCTACAGCATAGGCTCCCAGGTTTATTTGGCTTCCCGCCCCCTTTTCAGAACAATCACTCAGCGCCCCGCCCCCTGGCAATGAAAAATGTTTTGTACTGTAGCACATAGTCGAGGGTAAAGTGTGTGTATCTGCTTTTGCAGCTCCCCTGGATTGATCCAGTGCCCCCAGCCTCCCCCCCAGGGAATGGCATCTCCCACTTTGGAAAACACTGGTTTAGAGCATACAATTTTAAGTATTATAAGTTCCCCTTTTAAGATTAAAATGAACAGTAAATACACGATTGCTTTTTTGGGGGGGAAATATATATCCATCGTAAGCCTATATAGTCTATCTCTTAAAATTCAGAGGGAATAGAGACATATTAATAATGCTTAAGAGTGAAGAACAAATATTTATAAATATGCTTGACACAATTGATGTATGGAATGTTATAAGAGCTTCCAATAAAATGATTTAAAGAGAAGGAGAGAGAGAGAAGAATGCAATGGGTGCTTATGCATTTCTCTGTTCTTAGCTGCACGTCCTAATTTTTTACATACAAATATATTATATGTTGTATATTTTATTTAAAATATTATATAAATGTGTAATAAGTGTGGTATAAATATATGATATCGGAATCTATCCTGTATAAATATATTGTCTCTCTTAATAGAAAGATATTTACAAATATAGATATATTACGGACGTAGATCTATTTACAAACAGAAGGACATCATCTATACATCTCCCCAGGTCGGGCAAAGCATCCACACACCTGGCTGTTGCTGACAAAAGGCTGGAGCTTCCACAGAGTTGACACAAAAGAAAGGCCTGGAGATCCACTTCAGCAACCAGCCCCGGGACCCCTCTGGAGCACACTTCTGCCTGGGCACGGAGTCAGGATCAACTCCGTAGCAACTTCCGACTCAATGGTTTGAGGACCCAAACTCATGACCATTGGATTGATTCCCACGGGTGGCAACCCTATGGTGATCCCGTGTCAGTTTCCGAGGCAAATAGCCTCATCTTTCACCCTTGGAGTGGCTGGTGGGTTTGAACTGCCGGCTTTGGGGTTAGCAGTCCAGCAGTAAACACCACCACCAGGGATCCTTCGAAGATAGTATCTACATTCTTCTGACTACAAAAAACCCCCAAACCAAGGCAGTTCTTCAGTGATCTCTCTCTCGGCCTCTCCTCCTGCTCCTGGGAAAGACACCCAGCCCAGCAGCCAGAAGGTGAGCCCCCCACGGATCAGCCCAGCTCGCTGCGGCAGCAGGGCCCAGCACGGGCATTCTCAGCACAGTCGCCAGTGTGGCCCTGGGGCCCCACCCAGCCGCTGCCCATTAGAGTCTATACCAGATGGTGCCGGGAGAGAGGAGGTGAAACAGAGGAGGGGCCCACGCTCCCTCCAGAGCTGCTGCTGCCCAGCTTCTCAGAGCCAGTGTGGTTGGCCGTGCAGGTTGCCACACGCGAATTCCCACCCAGGGGCTCAAGGAAGACACCCTCCCAATGAGCACGTGCACACGTGCGGTCTTGAGCCCACCTTTCTCTGCTTTGAAAAATTGGTTTGGGATACAGATTGGCACAAATGGAGCATGCATTCGGAATAGGCAATATTTTGTAGTATCAGCCTAGGCTAAAGAGATATTCTATATGACAGTAGAAATCTATTACATATATAAAATTGTACATGTGTAGCTATTGAAAGTAAGCGTTCTATTAAAATTTTATTATTATAACATTAGATCCTATTTCTATTTTTTTTCCCTCTTGCTAGTTTTTGGGAGCTGCAAAATCCCTTACCCAGAGCCATCCCTGGAGATCGAGCAGGGCTGCCCCATGGGAGTTCCTAGGCTGTGGTCCCCCCTGTCCTCCAGGGTCCCTGTGGGTCCGAAGAGACGCCATGGCGGTGAATTTGGAGTTGCCGTCCTTAGAGAGACAAGACGCTCAGGCCTCTTCCTACAGAACTGAATGAGCCCAAACCACCCGCCTTTCGATTTGCAGGTGTTGGAACTGCCAGTGCTCCTACACACAAACACACACACACACACACACACACACACACACACACACACACACACACACACACACACACACACACACACACACACACACGGCAAAAAGCATGTGGGAAAATCCCATCATCTTTTCATTCTGTTTTTTCCCCCCAAACTCTCTTCTATACAGAACACACGCACACTCAGTGCCTGGGGGGAGCATTATTCCCAGAACATTTCTTCTGGAAAAAGTGAGGCTCCCCTCATCTCTCTGGATCTGGTGAATGATGCTGCATCTCAGTACCCACTGTGGTTAATGGGTACACGACGGAGTCCTGGTGCCCAGTATTTTACCCCAAAGCAGACAGCAAGTATCACTTCCACAAGCAGAAAACAGTGCGCCTGCCAACACCCGAGAGAGACTCCGCCTGGGACACAAAGTGACAGCTGCTCACCTGTCACCTGGGCCCTCACGGGCTCCTGCTGCTCCGTCCTGTTTCGGCCGAATATGACTTCCATGGCTGGTGAGTCCCTGTCCCTATGCTCAGCTGCAGCTCCCGCAGGCCCTCCCAGCCCGTCCTCCTGGTTGTCTCTGGGCTGAATGTTCCCTCTGGCCCTGGCCGGGGCGTGTTTAGAAGATGTTTGGTCAAAGGTCAACTCTGGGAGCTCTGAGGCAGAGCTAATCTTTAATCCTCCCTGATCCTGTTCCCAGCTCTGGCCCCCTCATTTTCACTCATGGTTGAACCAAGACAAACTGGCCACCGACCCCCCCTTCCGTGCTCCCGGCTCACCTTGCACTGAAAGGTCCTTACAGGGAGGAATGCCGCACCACCACAGGGACCCCCAAAGGAAAGCATTTGTCCCCAAACAAAACTCAGAAGGCAGGACAGGGAGGGGGAGGAGGAGGGCAGAGTGTTGGCACCATGAGGGGCTACACCTGGGGGCCACACAACAAACCACCTGAGCTCTGCACCTTTGCACCTGACCCACCCACCGTGGAAAACAAGCGCTCATTTCTCACTGGGTTCTGTCCCCTTCCCCGGGGGCGGGGGGCGGGGTGAAGATGGTTCGTGCCCAAAAGAAGTGGGGCGCTCAGATGACTTCGGAGCTCAGGGAATTCCGGAACCCCTCAGTCCATCGCCCATCACCTCCTGCTGCATGGCAGGCATCCTTCTTCTGTCGAGATGGGAAGGATTTTTGAATGATTTTCATGAAAGGCCCCCGAAGCTTCCTGTTAAGGAGCTCTGGTAGTGTAATGGCTGCCCTGTTGGGATGAGAGCCACAAGGCCATCAGTTCAAAACCAGCAGCCGCTCCGAGGGAGAAAGAGGAGGTTTTCTACTCAGAAATCCACAGGGTCAGTTCTACCCTGTCCTCTGAGGGGGAGTGGACCCAGTGGCAGAGTGTGGGTTTGGGGGGGGTTGAAAGCTTCTTGTTTAAAACATAGCAAGGGCATCCCCGGTGTGGGACTTTCTTTTTTGGAGGAGGTCATATGTTTGGGGTGTCTTCAGAGATCTGCTTCCTGGAGGCTCTGTGATGGGAAAGGGTCTGGCTTCTCGGTGTCATGCCAACCTCACCAGCAAGCCCCAGGGCTTCAAAGCTGACCCCCAGCATGATGTCAGCAGTGACCATGTGTGGGAAACTAACAAACGTCATTCCCACAGATTCTCCCCTAACAGCTATGCTGCCTTAACGTGAGCCCATGGTTGATTCTGCCTCCCTGTCTTCTCTGGAGGTGAGAAGGGCCCCTGTAAGCACAGATAAGAGACGCTTCCCTCTGGGAGCAAAGCGGATCACTCCTCTCGAGTTCAGAACAGACAGCATGTACGCCTTAGACTCCAGGGCAGTGGTTCTCAACCTGTTGGTCACGACCCCTTTGGGGGTTGAACCAACTTTTCACAGGGGTCACCCGATTCATAACAGTAGCAAAATGACAGTGATGGGGTAGCAACAAAAATAATTTTATTGTTTGGGGGGGGTCACCACCACATGAGGAACTGTATGAAAGGGTCGCGGCATTAGGAAAGTTGAGGACCACTGCTCTAGGGGGACAGATCTAGTTTTCTAGGGCACTTTCAAAGGAGAGGGGATTGTTGCTCTGCAGAGGGTCAAGCAACTTTGGAATCAGTTGTTCTTTCCGTTGTTTCTGGGCTGTGGTTCTGGGTCAGCAGGTCTTGGGGGCTGTTTCGAGCCCTGGCTTCAAGGTTAGGGTGTTAACCGAGCCAGTCCTCACAGTGCCCTTTGTTCTCACTGGTCCTTGGCTCGTTCCCTTAGGAGACAGGGCAGGAGCCCCTGTTCTGTCCATCACTTCTCTCCATGGCAAAGACTGCTACAGCCGTGGCTGCAGAGTTTGGGCTCAGGGGAGAAGATGGGGTCTTGGCGGCCATTGCTGCTGGCAGCCCGTGGGAGCACTTGGACTCTTGCTGCCAGCCAAGGCCTCCCAGCCCCCCCTGGGTTTATCCTTGGGGCCTTGGTGGGGATCAGTCCCGGCTCCACCCCCTCCCTTCACATCCTTGAGAGACAGGCCCCGTGGTGACCCAGCCAGCCAGTTTGGGGTTTCTGTCTGTTTAGCAGTGAGAGACTAGGAATTGGGAGATGCCTTTTCTTAAAGCCACCTGTTTCATGGGATGGGTTGAGCCTACGAGACAGTCACATGGTTAAGAAGGAAATGCTGAGTGCAGAAAGAAGCACTTTTTTTGCTATGGGGGGAAAAGTCCTAATTTGCAAATTAGGTAGTCTCTACTGCAAACTGTGGCCTGGAATAAGTTAATATTTTCCCTTTGAAGATATGTTATCATATCTAAATTACTGTTTCCCAATTAAGTTAGCTTCTATATATGATGCCTCTAATTAGGCAGCTTGATAAGTTGCATGGATAATGTTCAAGGTGACAGGCAAAGTCCCCACAGAGCAGAGGTGGCAGCTGCTTCCCTGAGAGAGACCAACCTTGGTGCTAAGTCCCAGGAAGAGAAACTGCTCTCTGCAGACCTGATTTAGGAAAAGGGTCTAGTGGGTGGTAGCAGAGTCCTCCTGGCCTCCTGGAGTGAAGACTTCCCCACAAAGCAAAAGACCATAAATGATGCCATTCATATTTAATAGGATTCATTCATTCTACAAAGCCTGACTGAGCCACACTATCTACTACCACTGCCACAGAGTCGATTCCACTTCATAGCATCTCTCTAGAGGGTTTTAGAGATGGTAAATCTTTCTTCGCACAGACAGCCTCCACTTTCTTCCTCGGAGCAGCTGGTGGTTTTGAACCACTGATCTTTTGGTTCTCAGCCCGATGCCTAAATGGGAAAAAATAGCCCCTGATCTCAGCAAACTCCAAGTCTAATAAGGGAGATAGATAAACAAGTAATAATAATTACAATATACTCTAAGTGCTACAATTTATGCAATGAGAATCATATGCCCCACTGTGGTAGTTACATAATTTTGTGTCAGCTTGAAGTGTAGGGGTGGAGTCTAGCCTGTCAATCAGGTCACAGTCAGATGGTGTCTCCTTGTGGGCGTGACCTCCTCATAAGGAGGGTCCTGGTAACCTCCCCCTCTCTCTGCCTTCACCTTCCTGTTGAAGAGCCATGCTGAGAGCTGCCAGAGCCCTGGGATGCCATCACCGCCATTGGATCCACAGAACTGAACTTACCGGCGGGGGCCGGTGATGTTCCTGCATTCTGCATCATTGCATGTGGCTGTGTCCGTCTGAAGAGGGACTTATGGACTAGTATCGGACTTAGAGACTAACATTGGACTTATGGACTTGATCTGGACTGGGATGGGATGTTTGCTTGATATATAATTACTTCTAAATATAAAGCTCTTGCTTACACATATGTATTAGTGTCACTAGATTTGTTTCTCTCGTCAACCCGGCCTAACACACCTACTTACAAAGTGGAATGGGTAAGGTTAAAGTGCAGAGGGAAAAAGAAGTGTCTTCTAATGCCTGAGCTGGAACAGTTCAGTTTCTCACCCTGTATAAACGTCATGCCCAATCAGTGATCCTTGGCAAAAATTCTATGTAACAAAGCAGTGTCCATGTCACAATGGAGACGCACCTCGAAAGCACCAAGCTGAGCGAAAGATGTCAGTCGCTAAAGGACAAACCCAGCCTGGTCTCAGGTAGATGAAATAAGAAAAGTTCTTTGGTGTATCAGAACCAAATTTTATTGGTGGCTGCGGGGGGTGGGGGTGGGTTGGTGGGGGTGGGGGTGGTGAGGGGGAGGGGGGAGGGAGGACAGAGGAGCTGTGCTTAGGGAGCGTCCATTGAAGTTCATGGTGGCAATGATTTAGACGAAGACAGTGACAATGGATGTAGACCTGGAAGGATATATATCAATGCCTCCACACTATCCAGGTAGAAATTGAGCGGGCCTCCTTTTGTTCTGCATATTTTCATCACAATGAAACTAGTAATCAGTGATGAGTGACCAGTTGGATTATAAACTGGATATTTCTACCTTCCAAGTAATGTTTCATATTGTTTCCTTTTCTACCTCCACCCTAAACCATTGCCCTCACTCCTCCTGATCCCTTGGGAGAAATCTTCTCCTGGCCTCAGTCCCATCCCCACCAGCCCACCTTGTCTTTGCCACAGGAGACCTGGCTGAGCTTCGAACCTGACTGTGCCACTTGGCTGCCTAAAATCTAGAGTTTAGCACAGTGTCTGGCACATAAGAGGTACTCAACATCACTGGAATGGCCGGTCCTGTTGGCTCTGCTGATAAAACCAGCCAGGAAGGATGGAATGGAGTAGGAGTTGTTGGGGGTGGGGAGCTGATGGAAAGAGTGTCTCATTGATGGTCCCAGAATGCCAAAGCCTTCCTTGTCCTCAGTAGCCAGTACAAGCCACAAGTCTCCCCCATGGTCCTCCATTGGGAAGTTGGCCATGCCTGGTCACACCTCCACCCCTTTGAACCTGCCACTGCCTCTCTCCTTCCCTGTACACGTGCTACAGACTTACACCCTTGTCCTAGAACTCCTTCAAGATGGGCGCCTGTTCTCTGACGGCTCCCCAGGGTTGGCGAGGGCTTGTTATTTCACTTCCTGTGCCCTCAGCGACATTTCACAGACCCCCTCCGTTTTGCTGTTGTTCGGTGCTGTCGTGGTCGTTCCAATTCAGAGGGAACCTATCAACAGCAGAAGGGGGCAATGCCTGCTCCCAAGCCATCCTTACAATTACTGTTTGTCTGAGCCCACTGGTGCAGTCACAGTGTCGATCTAGCTTGTCGAGGGGCTTCCTCCTTTTCCTCTACCTTTCTTCTGCAGGGACCAACGTAGCAAAGGTGAGCAAACCTACCGATGAGTCCAAGTGTCAACACTCAGCAGCATCAACAGGACCGGCACTTCCAGTGATGCCCCCCCCCCATAATAAGGGTCCCTGGGGGGAGGGGATAAGGGTGGTCAAAGAGGGGATAAGGGGGAGCTGATACCAAAGAGTTCAAGAAGAAAGCTGTTTTGAAACTGATGGTGGTAGCAATTGTAAAATTATGCTTGATCTAACTGAATCATGGATTTTTATAATATCTACAAGAGCTCCCAATAAAATGATTAATAAAAAAGAAAGTAGT